CTGTACCCATACCCTTTTCCTTTGATTTAAAACAGTAAAGGTTAAAGGTGGAAAGAATTCGAAGCCATTGAGTTAGCTGTCTGAAATATGACAAGGTTGATCTCCTCTGTAGGGTCTACGATACTTCCATCAGTGCAAAACCAAAGCCAAATCTGTAAGTGCCATTTCAGTTTTCTCACACAAGTTAATGAAAAGCTCACAGATTGATTTAGATCTGGGGTGCAAGTCAAATCAGATGGGATACAGATCACTCTGGAGGAAATTGAGATATATTCCAAGGGCCTGGTTTGGCCTTTGAATTGCATTTGGGAACTCGAAGACAGGCTTAGATTCAAATGATTTTATCACCAAGTTAGCTCATGCAGGTTAATTTACTCTGGATCAAACCATACTCCTTTTAGTACACCACCGTGTTTCCATCTGCAGACAACCACAGAGCCCTGAAATGTTCACAACCAGTACAAGACATGACATAAAATGGATTAGAAGCCAGTGCTTTAAAAGGTTTATTTGTTTTACCATTTCTGAGTGTGATCTGGGAAATGCAGCCCAAATATATGTATACGAGAGCTTTTGATGGGTAATTTTTTTTTTGCACATCCTTGATTTCTATCCTGTCAGCCACATTTTTTTTTAATTTGGATCCACAAGGTAACACAGAATATAAAGCAAAAAACAAATTAAAAATTAAAAAATGGCAAAAACATCATGGCCCCTTAAAGACAAACTGATATATTTTAATGGAGGTTTTGTGGATAAATCCAGTTCCTCAGCTTACATATCTCAAGGAATTTCTAGCAAGGAACCTCACTTCCAGTGTGAGGACAAGAGAAAGAAATATTCATAATCAATGTCATTTGTTTCTGCGGAAAACTGAAGCCTTCTGTTTTAAAGCATCCCCTCCCCCTTCACACACACAAAAGCATAGAAAGAAGTGTGTTCAAAAAGACACATACAGCCTGCTTCGAAACTTTAAGATCAAGGCTGAGACTGACTGGATTTTTTTTTTACAATTGCACAATCTACAAAAAAAACAAACCTGTTTTCATAAATCAGACCCCTTTTGTCATGAGTGCTGCAAAATATTTCACCTTTCTGCAGGCAAGAAGAAGAAGTAAAAAAGAGGGTTGCTCCTCAAACAGGAAAGCAAGAGAAGGAAGGATTGACATCTCTCTGTAGAAACAAAAATATGTTGGGCTCTGAACTGGTGGCAGGTGGCCAAGGCAAGGACACTTATATTCTATACCTCTCCAAACTTTCCCAGGCTCTTCCATTACCTTAAGGTCAGGCTGACAGAGTAGCTGGTTTTTTAAAAATGGCTTTCTAAAAAACACTTCTCCATTTTCCAAATAGAATCACAGAATAATTGATTTGCAAGGAGTTTATAAGGTCATTGTGTCCAGCCCCCTGCCCAATGGAGAAGCCCAAATCAAAGCAGATCTGACAGACAGTTGTCCAGTTTTCTCTTGAATGCCTCAGCACTGAAGCACTGGTCGAAATGACTAGATAGGCGGGGTATAAATACAATAAATAAAATAAAATAAAATAAAATATTTGGTTCCACTGCTCTAACAGTTTAGAAGTTTTTCCTGATACTTTTCTGTCTTCCTGTAGCTTGAGCCCATTATTATGTGTCCTGCACTCTGATAGAGAACAGATCCAGCCCCTCCTCTGGATGGCTACCTTTCAAGTGCTATCATATCTCTCCTCAGTCTTCTTTTCTCAAAGCTAAACATGCCCAGTTCTTTCAGTCTTTCCTTCTAGGGCTTGGTTTCCAGTTCCCTGGCCATCCTTGTTGCCCTCCTCTGAACTCAATCTTCAATCACAAACCTGGATCCCTGCTTGGATAATGGTTCTGTAGGACCTAATAAAGGGACCCACTAAAGACGTTGCTTCTGAACTGCATGCAGAAGAGTCGGTGCTAGAAGGAACTCCCTTGTTCCTGCTACTGGGACAAGGAGGAATTTTTAAAATACTTGAGCAAGTGGAAAGCTCTGTCATTCTCAATGGAGCAATTTCTGGCTTGTGTAACTTTAAGTTGGGAGGTCATCAACTAAAGCTGATACACTCCATGGTCCTGAAGATTATTTTGTCCTTAGGACTTTCAAAAACTCTGCTAAACAGCCTCCAGCTTTCAGCTGTGGAAGCAGAAGAGCTTCAGAAAGTCCATTTTTCCTATTATGGGATCCAGAATTCCCATGACAGCACAGCTATTGGCCATACTGGCTGGATGATTCTGATTGTTGCCCTTCAAAAAAAAGGAACTTCCTCAGGTTTTGGGAAGCAGTGGCAGAATAGCTCTGGTCCTCAATGTCTGGAAGAGGCGCTTGGAAGGAGCTCTCAAAGGAGCAGAGAAATTTATTTATTTATTTATTTATTCCTGGAAGAGGCACTTGGAAGGAGCAGAGAAATCAGCCTCTCTTCCATCCTCTGTTGAGAGGGTCTATAAAGGGGCCAATACATCTCCGCAAAAGCAGAAAGGAAGACAAGCTTATGTGAAACATTTCCTTCTGGTTCACCAAAGTTCAAACCCAATGATGATCAAGTGGCCTTGGAAGAATAAAGAAGAACCAGCTGAAAAGTCAGTCCTTCCCTTCTGCAACATTAATCTGAAAACAAGCGAGGAGGGAATAGAATTCATGGCTGGAGAATTATTCACAAGGGTCTCACTATTGCAAGCTGAGGCTCCTGTTTAGAAAAACCTGTCTCCCTGATAGACTTATATTTATTTATTATTCATGGTTTCAACCTGCTCCATTCCATAGGCATGGATAGACAACAGCAAGTTGAAACTACTCAGTATGGCACCAAAGCACTGAATCTTTAACTAAAAATTAAGAAAACAGCAACATTTCACCCAGAATTGCTGCAGCTGCTGTGACTGGAATTGTATATAATTCAAAACTTGGGACAGTAGCCAAAATCCTACTGGTTATTCATGCTGGCATTCTGTCCAGTGGTTTAAAGCACAGTGGTGAACAGCTGTGGGGCAATCACTGAAATCCTGGTCATGCACCTACACCGCTTAAGGCGGATGATGTCATCTGCTTTTGGTGATAGTGAAATTTTTAAAAATTCAGTTTCTCCTCAAGAAATTCACAAGGCTCATGTGGAATCCCTTTAGCCATCTGAAAGCTGTTGGGCGCCATGGAATGGAGGCAGAAGCTGTAATTTCTGAAAATATTTGCCAAGATTATTCTCATTACCACCTGCCTTGTTCAGAAATGAAAGATGTCTCAGAGCCCTCAAAAGCTTCCCCACATCAAGAGGGACACCAAGGGAGCTCAGAACCTTCAGGGGCCGGGGGTGGGAGTCAGAAATCTTTAATTTCTGGAAAAAAATGCTGTTGCTGATGACATCATCAGCCTTATGTGGTGTAGGTTAGGCTGCTGAATTTCAGCCAGTGAGTTGCCACAAGTATTTTTTGTTGTGTACCAAGTGACTAGCTGGCTGGAGAGCACAGTAGAATAGGCTTTGGGCTGTAGAGCCAGAGGTTAGGAATTCAGTTCCCCACGATAGGCTTCGGGCTGTGAAGCCAGAGGTTAGGAATTTAGTTCCCCACTATACATCCCACAAGAGCTAGCCTATGAAGCCTTGGACAAGCTGAACAGTCCCAAGATGCCCCATACATCCCACAGGAGCCAGCTTATGAACCCTTGGACAAGCTGAACAGTCCCAAGATGCCCCCAGAAGAAGGGAATGGTAAACCACGTCTGAGTGCTTTCTCCCTAGAAAACTCTGAAAAGGATCATCATAAATCATAATTGACTTGACGGCAGACAATTACTTAACCACGTAAGTAGCTAAGATTGACACCATTGAATCTCACCAACATAAATCACCAATAGGCTTATGGCCATTGCATTATGAAAGGAAGTCATGGCATTTATCAGCAGCCAGGTTGCTGTTGCTGTTAGTCAAGGGGGTAGTTGTAAGAGAAAGGTGATGGAAGCAGAAGAGTAAAGTTGTCTCTTCCTCCATCCACTGTTTCTCCTACATAGGCACTTGTCCCAGGCTGACTTCTCCAAGGTGAACTCTGGGCGGCTCACATTTTGTTGTGTGCCACCCAGAGTAGACGCTGTCTAGATGGGTGGGATACAAGTCCAATAAAATAAATAAATAAATAATAAATTATTTTCACGTGGCTAGACCAAAATAAACTTACAGAAAGGTTTACAGGAGAGAATGGGGGGAGGGGAAAGAGTTAACTACTTCCCCACATGGCTAGACCAAAATAATCTTGCAGAAAAGGTTTAAAGGAGAGAATGGGGGAGGGGAAAGAGTTAACTACTTCCCCACTTGACTTTCTCCTTGCAAATCCTTCCCCTCTGCCATTGTCATGGGTAGCCATTTTATGTTTGCTAGGCATTCCTACCATGACAGCCACTCCAGATTAAAGAGTCCTGCACTACTGCTAAGTGATGCTCAAGATTGAACACTCGTGACTGTTTAGCAGAAAAAGATCCTGCAACCCAATGATCCCCGTTGAGCGTGATGCTCCGCACCACTGTGCCATTCCTGTTACCATGGCAGATGAGGCTGATCCAAGGGAAACTACATGCAAATTTAAAAACAACCTCAGACGCCAGTGTATTAGAAGAGTTTTAGTCTGGTTAATAAGGCAGTTTAAGTTTTGCTTCTCAAATATATGATTCTTATAGCTTCCTTTTGAGGTGGTCCACTCAAGGCAGGATGGTAACACATTCTCTTCCCATGCACTAAAACTAGCCATAGGCTAAAATACAAATGCTTTGACTGGCTCCTAGAAATAAATAAGAAGACAGGAGAAACGCAGGAATAATGGCCTAATGAGCTGCCCATGACCATGTCTGGATATAGTCAACACCATGTATTATGTCCATGTACTTATTTTGTTACTGGATCTTCTTGCATCTAGTTTAAGGAAGTCAAACAAGGAGGAACAGTTGCTTTGGGATAGTTATAGAACCAATGGCTATTCTATGTTTTAAAAATTACCATTATTGCTATTTTTTTTTTACCTTGTGTCCCTTGTGTTGGGATTTCTCTCCCACCAGTAACCTGACCATTGTTTCCCATCTTTCTAGGGCCTGGTGGTCCCATGCCGTCACCATAAATATTGTCTGCTCCGAGGGGATTTGCACCCTTTTGGTAGCGTAGACGGTTCCATCGGTCCTCACCTTGAAGTCCAGGTTGTCAGTTTCGTACCGAATCCCCTTGCTCTCCGAGCAGCCGCTAAATTTCACTAGAAAGGAAGACAGAAGAAAACATTATTGTTGTTGTTGTTAGTCAGGCTACTAATATTACAGTAGGACCACAGTATCCATGGGAAATCGATTCCAGGCCCAGTAACAGATGGCGCCAAACTGCAGATAATAATAAACTCTCTATATAGCATAGTAGTGCTCAAGCTTTGTTTCAAAGGAGAAATGCCTCCTGGAAGTGTTTTTTTTTTTAACCATCAAACAAAGAACTTGTTCTAAAGGGAAGCTGTAACTTTTCAAGAGCAGATTTGGTAGGAGGAGCTACTGCCGATGGAAAGGTGTTTAATTCTGGAGCAGTAGAAATGACCTGTCCAGGAACACCTATTTGAAGGTTTGCCTGATTCAGTTTGAAGACAAATAGCCATACGAAGAGAGAGCATGGGCCTTGAAGTTTTCTACCCAGTTAGCATCTGGACAGTAGACCGAGCAGGTGCATGGATCACCTGGTCTCAGTCTGTAACCCCTGTCATAGTGGAATGTATTGTGTTCCTGTTTATTTTACAGTAATGACGATTTCTAAATGTACATCATACACATTAATCAGTATATGCACCTTTTATGCAAATCTCTGTACTCTTTGAACATCCTTTTTTTGATAATCCACTACCTCTTTTTTTGCAATGTATGCTGTAGACAAGCTTCCCATAAAAAAACAGGTGGTGGGGAGGTTTATGAACATCATAAAAGGGCAGTGGCTAGATGGAAGCCCCAGACCTTATTGTCTATCATCCTACCTGAAACCTTGAACAAACATTAAGGAAATAATATAACTGTTTCTTTGACCTTTTGAAGAAGCTCTTGAACTTTATTGCCATTCCTAGCAAAATGGCCAGTGGCTATTTTTAAACTACTTTCTAAAGTTTCATTACATCGGAGAGGCAGCCGATCCCCGTTGCTGCAACTGGATTTCTCTCCATCTCCACTATCTTTTGAATGAGTTGGAAAACTATCAGCCACACAGTTGACCACCCATTCCACACACACCCAGCTTCCCTCTATCTGCCATGTAGACAAGATGCTTATGCATGCTGACAGGTCTCAAAGTCAACCTAGGGAATTGTTCATCGCAATTCAGTGTATAAGTTGTTACAGGATCAGGATTTAGTAAGCAACATGTAACAAAGGAGCACAGCTGGGTTAATTGAGGCAGCTGTGGGACAACCAATTTGATTGGTGAATCCAAGAATAAATCTAGCCAAGCCTACAGACACAAACTGTTGGGTAGTTTGGGTAGTTGGTTGGTTGTTGTGTTGCTGGTGATCGTGTTGCTGAGAGCTGTATATTCTGCATCGTTGGATGAAGACTTGCTGCATTGCAAGGAGAAGATCCTGGGAGAAGACTATCTCTGTGGTGAGAGGAGAAGACTTCGTGGATGCTGGACTATTTATATTGGTAACAATATTTGGTTACTGAAACTGTAAATTTACCATTGCTAATTGAAGAACTACTGTGAATGACCAGGACTGTATAAAGACCAAGAGAAGCTGTATTTACCCCTGTATATATGGACTTTAATGAAAATAATATTTTCAACACCACAATAGTGTCTGTTTGGTTTAATCTCTGGGCAGTTCACTTCACCATTACGCCCCTGGCGTAGTCTGGTAACGCAGCACCTCTGTCACATGCTTTAATGGGAACTTAAATATCCATAATCATTTTGTTATCAGATTACCATTATTAGTTGCAGAATAATTAAAAGCCACTGCTAAAGCTAGATACTTCTGTACGGCACAGATACATTCAGGAAAGGCTCAAAATACTTGAGATTGTGACATGTGACAAATGGTTGGAAATACAATTGAAGTGAAAGGCATTGGATAAAAGTTATAGGGTAGAAACCATAATGTTGTCACTGTCTTTGTTTTAACATCAAATTGATGGACTAGTTGAAACTAATTTACAGATGGTAAAGAAAGCGAACCCTGGGTTTTGTTCATAGAATTTCCATTTAAATAGCAAGCCTAGCTCTCTAGTACAATGGGGTCAAAAGGGCATCACCCTCACAGGACAGCAAGGTATTCAGCAAGTTTGGGAGATTTCCTTTCTTTCTTTCTTTCTTTCTTTCTTTCTTTCTTTCTTTCTTTCTTTCTTTCTTTCTTTCTATATATTTATATTTTTTTTTGCAGAAATACATAGGACAGAGAGACCTCTAGAACAGTGGTCCCCAACCTTGGGCCTCCAGATGTTCTTGGACTTCAACTCCCAGAAATCCTGGCCAACAGAGGGGGCAGTGAAGGCTTCTGGGAGTTGTAGACCAAGAACATCTGGAGGCCCAGGTTTGGGGACCACTGCTCTAGAACACCCAAGGAGGCCCAAGCCTACTTAGTGGCTACAGAATGGTGATTAACTGTTGTATAGATTAGTGGTCCCCGACCTCGGGCCTCCAGATGTTCTTGGACTTCGAAATCCTGGCCAGCAGAGGTGGTGGTGCTGGGAGTTGTAGATCAAGAACATCTGGAGGCCCAAGTTTGGGGACCACTGCTCTAGAACACCCAAGGAGGCCCAAGCCTACTTAGTGGCTACAGAATGGTGATTAACTGTTGTATAGATTAGTGGTCCCCGACCTCGGGCCTCCAGATGTTCTTGGACTTCGAAATCCTGGCCAGCAGAGGTGGTGGTGAAGGCTTCTGGGAGATGTAGTCCAAGAACATCTGGAGGCCCAAGAATGGGGACCACTGGCATAGATAATAGAAAACCAGGTGACAGAGGTTATATAATGGAGTACAACAAAGGAGAACATAGTTAGCTGGCTGGTTGTATGACTTGAACAGGAAACAAATACATGGATTTGTATTGATGTTCACTTGTGGTAAAAATCCCATTTGTTCTAGTGTGAGCATCCATCCAGACCTTGTGACATAATACTTTCATCTTTTAAAAAAATATTTAGGCCAATAGCCTTGCTCTCGGTGACTGGAGAGTCAAGCTGTGCATTAAAGGTCTAGAGATGGGCATGAACCACAGAACTGACAGTTCATCAGCTGGACAGGTCTTCGGCACTTCCCAGCAATGCCACCAGAGTCTGCCCTGGTTTCCCCGGCCCACTCCCTCTGGATGCTGACTCAGAGTGGGTGCCCACAGGAGGAGGTGGGGCTGGGAAGTGTCAAACATCTGTTAGGCTGAAGGACGAACCAGCACGAACTGCTGGTTGGTGGTTTGTGCCCATCTCTAACATACCGTGAGCCACATAACTTGGCATATAGCAGATAATGCATACACACGTTTCTTAACTTAGACCATTTGCCCAACAGTATTTCAGCCAAAGAATCACAAGACGAAAGAACAACAGCCTGGAGGCTGCCCATCTTGTATATGCATATGTATATGTATATACAAATAAAAGGCTTCTTTGGGCCACATTTTTAGCAATGTGTCTTTTCTTTGTTGATAAGTTTCCACCCCCACTAAGGTTACCATTTTTTTCATAGAAACCATGAAGAAGACTAAGAAATCCAAAGTAAGAACAAAGTTAATTGAATTTTTATATACTGTTTCAACTTAAACTTGTCCTGTGACCTAATTACAATTTCCCTGTTTGGAGTTTTCAGAAGACAAAAATGTGTTTGTTTGTTTTTTAATTTTAGCACTTGAAGTCTCAGTATAATCTGACGTTTTAATTTGTTTGTGTGATTCATACATATCTGGTACACATGTGGCCTAGCAATATTTTGTCTTCCTTTTTAAAACAAACCCTGACCATTATATCATTTTTACTTTTCATGTCCAAGGAGGCAGCCTAGCTGTGGTAGCTAGGTGAGAGTATCATAGATTTCCTGCCACTTTTTAAACAGAGGTGTGTTTTCTGCATTCCCTCTGGAAGTACACTGAAGACAAAAGGCCACATTGAGTAAACCATGTACAGTATTTTTAAAATGTCGCTCTGCTAGTTTATTTTAACAGCCATTCATAAGTGATACATTTCAAACCAAAAACAGAGAAAAACAATAGTTTCTAAAGTTTTTTTAAAATGGTCATGGATAATAGTTTTGCCCTAAAAGTGTAGCATGAAATCTTGTAGCATGAAAACATGTTTATGAGAATCAGCTTCAGCAAGCTCACTGAGATTATAACAGCTCTTTGGCAACCACAAAGATATCTTTCCAAGATATAAACAAGAGACAGGAAAATAATAAACAGATGGCAGCTGCAAATAATTATTTAGAAAAGTTGTGACATATGTTTGTTAATCATTTTGCCTGTAAGTAAAATCGATTGCTGGCAAGAAGAGCATGTAAACAAGGTCACTGGGAAAAAAAAGAGAGTCATTGCTTGAAATAGAGAGTCATTTCTTGAAAAAAACCTAATTTTATTTATTTTATTTATTTATTTCATTTATACCCCGCCTATCTGGTCAAATGTGACCACTCTAGGCAGCTAATGGCATTCTGGACCTCACACAGGAGGAGAACACACATTTTTAGTACGGCACAACATCCCACTATAGTCATAGAGGTGAAGCAAGTTTGAGAAGGCCCTGATTAAAACCTGCTCTCTCCCCAGTTTTACCTTGTGGTCCAAGCAGGGGAGCATCTCACTACAAAATTCTAGGGTAAGATCCTTCTCCAGCACTTGCACCTTGGGCCACAAGCTGCCTATGCTGCAGGTCACACTCAGGCCCATTCTTGGCCTCACATGTGAGCCAATCTATTTATCAGAATGCTTGGTTCTAAAAGCTAGGAAATTTTATTTTCACAATTTCTATGAAGATGGAATACTGGCTTGCCAAAGACCAAACAGTGAGTCCACGAATCACTGCAACAAAGATTCTAGCATGCCTTCTCATGTACCTAGAGACTTCAAATTTATCTATTCTAATTCTTAGTCTGTTGGACTTCTCACAGCAAGGTTTTTGGAAGCAAAAACTTTTTGATACGGGGACTTTAGGATTACAGCATTTGTGGGACAGTTCTCCAATGAGTTCTTGCGACTGTGGCTTGTTGATAGATAGAACTTAACAAGTCAGTCTGAAACCCTGTAG